CTTAGGTCAAAACAAATGTGGAAAAGGTGCCAACTGTGAAAATAACTTAAGGATGTGCCACAGTAAAACGACGCATGTTTATAGCGAATAAATGAATTTACTGCGACTTTTCAGCGGCGGCAATCTCGATGGCATCATTCAGCAGCATTACGTAGATTTTCCCCGATAACCGTGTCGTGTAGCGACTTTCAATCAACCAGTTCCGATCGGCTTCATCACTACTGTACTAAAATAGCATCAACAACTTTTTTCGCTACGATATCGCTCAAGTTTTTATAAAAAGAACATATTTAAAAACTTTAAGTAAAGGAAAACTGATTCCGGCTTCCGAAAAACTTTCCTTTGAAATTTTTTCAAGGTTTCCTTTGAAACTTTTAGAAAGGAAAAATAATGGATGAAAAAAGAGAAAGCAAAGATAAGACAGAAACGATGTTAATATGGGCTGCTGTAAGATTAAGCAAGAAAAAAAATGAAAGTTACCCTGAAAACTGATGGATATTTCATGAAAATTCTCCGATTACTACGTAACAATAACAACCGTGAAACTTTCGATGCAAGGATAAAGCGTGTTGATGGACACAGCCGATCCGGATTCCACTGAAAAGGCACGTTCTAGTGAAGACCGAAGAAAAGGCACGTTCTAGTGAAGAACCGAAGACCGAAGAAAAATTCAACATCTTATTCAGAACCACGCATATATGAAGGTCATCATGCGAAAAAATTTTTACCTTCGATAAATCCATTTCAGGTACAGCATCACTACAGTGTACGTATGGGGAATCGGTTCGACCAGGATTATCGGTCTGAAAAAAAAAGTTCAGCCTACAATCTGAATAAGCGGAAAAAAAAAACAGTCAAACCAATTCTGGCAAAAATTTTCAATAGCAAAATATGAAAAATGAAAAAGGGGAGTTTTGAAAAAAAAAAAAAAAAAAACAAGACTTGCAATGTAACGGAAGAGAGTAATTAACAGGGCGAGTATTGAGCTTTACAATCCGACAGTAATCCCCTGACATAACAGCATGACTGAGCGCCTAATTAATAAACCTTAGGAGGTCGACCACGCTTTCGACCACGCAGAGGAGCCGTTGTCAGATGCTGATGAACGACATAATTTGCGACACTGGCTTCGCTTTCCAGGTCCGATTCTGTTCCAGCCGGGAAACTGCAACAGCACAAATTTTATCCGGAGAGTGAATGTCCCAAATGGCATAATTTTGGCTATGGCTCGTCTTTTTTCACCGAATCTGAGAAAATTCAAGAACAATGCTCCGTTTCTTCGCTTGATACCATACTATGCACAACGTGAACATTATTAAAACCAGAAAAGTAAAAAGCATTTGCTTTTGTGCATAGTACTACAATGTAAGAAAAATCAGTGGCTCTCATTGTGTGATTTGTATTTTATAAAGACATGATCAAAAACTTCGGCTAGGTGTCTAAAATTAGACAACCGTAGTTTATAAACGAATATTTATTAAAATGCTGTAGGAAAGCAGTGGTCCGGGAGCATACACAATGGCAGTTGCAATTCCGTGAGTACTTCGTTTAATGATATCGAAAAATTTAGATCGAAAC